CCCCAGTACAAAAAAAAAAAAAAAACAAAACAAACAAAAAAAAGTCTATAGAATGCTATAATAGCCGTAAGAATGTACGGATACAGCACCCATAATAAGTCTTTATATAATAATAATATAATTATATTAATATAATATCGTTGGTTGTGGTATGATGCTGCCCTCAAGTGGCTCCATCAAAAAAGGGTAGCTGGAAAGCAAGATTTAATTACAGAGAGAAGTCCCCATGTACTCCTAGAAGTATCAGAATGTGGCTGTAGATTAGGCTGGACAGTCTGTGTTTTGAAGAGGAAAGTGAAGTTTCTTCTTTTATCATTAATATGGCCTCATTAATATTTGCAGAATGAATTATATAAACAAACATTTTTAACTTTTCAGATAAGTCCTCCTTAAACATGGAATTGACTGCCTAGCTGTCTTTAGTGTGTTTTGAAAAGCTTTTGTTCATGAGATCATCAGGAACTTAACGGGTTCAGATAAATAATCTTTTAAGAAGTTGGTTTCTATTATAGGTTCTGTTTTGACATATCTATTTAGCCCCAAGCAAAGGGATGTTTGTTGACTGCTTCCTTTACACTACATATTTATTAGACACACGCGCATCACTTATGTGGTTGGCCATAAGAGGCATCACTACATCAAAAATCCATACTAATTCCTCCCTCACTACAGTCTACTGTCGCTTAACTGAAGGCCAATACCCAAACAAAGAACCCATCCATTGCTGCTCCCTTCAAGTGGTGCCCTTCATGGTGGAGTTTGACTTTCTGAGGTGTTCCTTATCTGAACATGCATTTTTCTTTTCCTTTTCCACTCAGGAGCTTATTGAAGAGTGAATGAAGACTTTATGCCCCCTCCCATTTCTCAGAAACAATTAAAGCTACCAGACATTTAGTGAGGATTCTAAAGTAACCCAAACATGACAAAGTAGGAATAGAGAGGAAAAATTTATTCCAGTAATTATTAGCAGTAGTGTTGCTTAATACTGAACATATAACACTTCTCAAATAATGTTGCCATATAATTTTCATTGTAATTAACTTTATGGCAACCATCTATAAGTAACTTTAGGACGGTAGATCAGAGTTGGTTTCATTTGTAGATTTTGTAGACCATCTCCATTCCCTACAAGTCAGTCTACAGGGATAAATTAGGGAACTTATGTATGAGTTAAGAAGATATAAGAAAGAGAAGACTAGAATCAGACAAAGTCAAAAGCTTTTATTTCTTTAACTTTTGCTGGATATTTTGAAGCAAATTATATTTCCCTCCACTGGTTGAACTAATCTTTACTGATAAAGTGTGATAGTACCACTATTTTGAAACATTCGGCTGCTCTTCAGTGTACCAAATAATATTAACATTTGTTAAGCTTTTCTCTATGTTCTAGTATTGCTACATGCTTTATATGCATAGTATAATGAAGAACTAAAGGTTTTTAAAATGTGTTTTTAAACCCAATTTAAAACCCAAGTATATCTAATGGCTAATAATAGTAGCTATCTATATCCTTTTGTATACCTTTTAGATTTTTTAATTTTTCTTTAGATTTATATATTGATGATGAAGAAATAATTTCTACAAATGATGTGATGTCCTATAAAAGTCCGCTACCAACTTTAAATACTCCAGTGAGCAGACCAGTTTTGAAACCAATTTTGATAAAGGACCCCCTTTTAGATTTCAAAGAAGCTAATTTTTCCAGGTATTTAATTATCTAGTGCTATAAATATTTTATAGGAGAAAAATTTCTTTGTATGAACACATTTAGATGTTATCAGTGATATTTTGCCTTTGCTTTACCTCAACTTTCATTTTAATCATTGTTTTTGTCTGTATTTACTATGTAATTTACTTTTAATATTAATTAATGTTTGGGCTTTTTGTTTTAAGGAAATGTTTATCTTTTCAAGAAGATTTAGAAATTTCTGTGAAAGATTTCTATGTGGATAAAGAAAATATTTACCAGGAGGAGAAACTAGAAGATTCAGTAGGTTTGAGTGAGGTTGTAACATTTGCTTTCAATAATATCTTTACAAAAGTAAGGAATCACACTTTTATAAATTTTAGTAATATACATGACTTTTTACAATGTCATATTTAAAAGATTTGATAATGGGTGGAATGTATATCAATTAAGTGTCCAAATGACTTGTAAATAATGGTTCTCTGCCTTACCTGTACATTGGAATTACCTGAGATTTTTTTTAAAAGTTTAAATCTGGCTTCTACCCAGACATATGATTTAATGGGTCCAGTGTACAACATAGGTATATAGAATTTTTAAACTACTCTCAATGATTTTAATTGATATACCTGGCATAAGATATTATAGTCATGTGTAATTTAAAAATTGGGGACTAGAACTAGAAATGTTGATTTGTGAGTTATGCACAAAACAGATGGTATTTGAGCTATAAATAAGTGATCTCATTGAGGGAGTAAGAATATAAAGTGTCTTCTATAAGGAAGACAGCATCTTTGCATATGAAGATCCAGAATTCTCAAAAATAGCCCTTTGTTTTTAGCATACAATTCCAAAATTGTTATATTTCTGTATAAATAATTCTAGCAATTGAGACAGCAAATAACTTTTTGCAGTGTAATGAGTTAAAAAACTTAGGCCCATATAAATTAGATGCATTCATTAAGTCAATTAAAATATTTTGGGGGGCAACTGAAAGTGTTTTAAATTAGGGACATTCCTTAATACAGTCAAAAGATGTGCATCTAGTGAAGTTAGTGTATATAAAAGATTTCTTTGCAGTTAAAAATTTAACATGCAGTAAAAATATTAATTCATCTGTTGGTCCCTTTCTTCCTGTCCTCCTTTTCCTCCCCAGTTATCTCTGAGAGTTGTGCATATATTCAGTTTCACTTGTTGAGGAATCTAGTTTTGTGGTATAAAAGAGAAACATTCCATGGGGTGCAGTAAAGATTCATTCTATTCCATCATGTATTTTTCATTTCTGCCCATCTACAATCTCTTATTTGCTACAATCGTTGTTTTTAATTTAGAATTTTAAAATTTTGCTATTAGCTGAGAAGAAGATACTTCTGGTTCTAGGGATGTGGTACATCACTAATATAATGAGTGAACAAAAGATACTACTCAGCATTACTTGTAATTAGAACATTTTTTGGCTGTTCCCCTTTTATTTAAAAAAAAACATATATAATGTTTGAAAATTGAATGTGGGCTTGATTTAAAATTTACCACACAATTTAAAATACATATCCATTCATGAAATTTAAAGCATTTACTTGGAAAACCTCCCTAAATTTTTAAAAAACTATATATTATTTCAGCTACCAACTTTTCCTTCTGAGTTTGAATTAATACCTACAAACCCCAAACAAGAACTGAAGGAATCATTAAACTTAATGCCAGAGAAAATAAATTGTATAGATGAAAATGAAAAACTTTTCAAAGAAGGTGAGAAATATTCTTCTTATTATTATTAATATTATTATTATTATTATTATTTGTAAGGAGGATCAAACTTAGGACCTTGTGCTTGTGACACAGGCGTGGCACCACTGAGCTAAATCCCTAGCCCAAGAATTAATTTTTAAAATGTATTTATTATAAAACTACTCAATAATGCTTATTATCCCGGCCCTTATTTAATAAAATATCTTCTAAACCTCTAAAGTTTGTAAAAATGTTGTGCAGGTTACATGTTGAAATCTCAAGATTATTACTGATAATAATATTATAATATATTATAATATTATAATTATAATATGTTGTTATGTTTTCTCTTTTCTGTGGGACTGGGGATTGAACACAGGGCCTTGCTCATGGTAGGCGGGCACTCTACCACAGCAGCTGCACCCCTAACCTTGTCATTTTCTTTGTATTACTTCTGGGCTAAAAACTTCTCTTCAACTAATTTATTTCAAAGTAAACACACAATAAAGCTAAAATACCTATGACTGTATTGATTTTATAAAGAGTTGTTTTCATATATACAATGAAAGCACTGTCAACTTCTATACTGATTTTAACTTGGAGCGGTGCATGGTTAAGGCACTCAGAATAGGATTCATGGAATCACATAACTGGGAGAATCAGAGCCTAGAATTTAGGTGATTTCATCTCAATCTCAGTAAGTATTACTGAGTTATTTTAAATTATGATTTGAGCACACATTTAACTGTCCTCGTGAATTTCATTTGAAATGATCAAAGTTATATTACATCAGGGAAGAATGGAAAGAGGATCTATAATACCCGTTGACAACAGCAATACTGTACTTACTGCCCACAGAACACAGACTTGATAGAATTGTTACAGATGAGACTAAATCAAGGACATTACTGATCAGTCTGCAAGTCAAAGCAAAGAAAGGATAAGCCAACTGAGAAAAATGCATCAAATCTACACCAGAACTAGAAAGTACATCAGAGTTCAAAACTGCAGGGTGGACTATAGGGAAAAGGAAAGGGTACATTACCAGAGACCCCTGCAGCGGTCCTGGTCTCCTCAAGCCAGTACGACATCCGTGAAATAGGAAAGTGAGAAATAGAAAAAACACACAGAGACTTGAGAGAACCCGAGTCTCCGGCTGATCTAAGCTACTCTGGGCAGCAAAGACAAAGGACTCCCAGGACATCCAGTGTTTTTTCTTTACGAAACTGTGCAGGCCTTGGGACACCTGCTAATAACAAGTATCATGCAGGTGGGACTGTAGAATAAGGGCACAAGCGTATCTTTGCTGAAGAGAACAAACTGTTAATTCAGAAGGGAGGGATTTAGCTGGAGCCAAGTTGACCTTGGCTGGAAGTAAATTTAGCTGATTGGACTACTTCTGATGTAACACAGCCGAATTATGGAGGGGCAAGAAGCTTGTGCCACTATAGCCTGCTAATACCGGGCAGAGGTGACTGCTACAATGAAGCATGTGCTTTTTAGCAAGATATGAGTCTCAACCCTGTAAGTGCTATTGGTAAGGCCAAGTGACCTTGTTGAGTGATTCTACTGTTACATTCCCAGCCTTTATTAGGCTCAGATGCTATATTAATGATAACAGAATAATTGCCTTAGAGAACTTTTAACACAGAAAGTTATACAAACAGTTGAAAGAACAGAGCAGTGTCCTAGGTACCTTTGGTTGGGACAACAGTAACAGTAAAATTGCTTAGTACAGCAATGAAAGTACTTGCTACAAGTATATCTCAAGTAACAGCTCCCTTCCTATTTCCCATGATCAAATGATAAATAAAATTATCTATAGAATCTCCTTGGACTCTTAATAAAAAGGGAATCATATAATATGTGGTCTTTTGTGACTGGCTTCTTAAACTTAGCATAGTATTTTTAAGTTTATTGATATGAGAGCAATTCTTCTCTGCAGCCAGATGATATTCATTGAATGGACAAATTGCATTTTGTTTTTCCATACATCTCTTAATAGACATTTGGGCTGTTTCTATTCTATAGGTATTATAAATAAATTTGCTCTGAACATCCATGTACACATTTTTGTGCATATATGTTTTTTTCATTTTTGAGTATATACCTAAAAGTGGAATTGCTAGATCCTATGGACTCAATATTTAACTCTTTAAGAAACTTCCAGAATGTTTTCCAAAGTTGCTGCAAATTTTTTATTCCCCTAGAATCTATGGGGGCTCCACCTTGCTGCCTCTTCTCCAAAAATTACCTGACTTTCTGAATACCCACCCTAGAAGGTATGAAGTGCTCTTTCACTATGGTTTTGATTTGCATTTCCCAAATGACGAATGGTGTTGAACAACTTTTCATGTAATTGCTCATCATTTGTACACCTTCTTTGGAGTGATATGTTTAGAACCTTCACCCATTTTTAATTGGGTTAGTTTCCTTCTTATTGCGTTATAGGTTTGTCTCATTTTTTATCTCTCTCTCTCTCTCTCTCTCTCTCTGTCTCCCCACACACACACACACACACACACACACACACGTGTGGTACCAGGGATCGAACTTGGACCCTTGCGCTTGCAAGGCAGGCAATGGAACTACTGAGCCAAATCCTCAGCCCATTAAATTTTTGTTTTGTTTTGTACCAGGGATCGAACTCAGGACCTTGCACTTGGGAGGCAGGTGGCAGAACCGCTGAGCTAATCCCCGGCCCTTCATTTTTTTATTTCTAAATTTGTCCTTTTCTGCCTTCTTTCAGTCTATTTGAATTTTTAACGAAATTTTAAAGACAAAATTTTACTTATTTAGGGTATGCAACATGAAGTTTTCATATATGTATACTTTGTGAAATGATTACCACAAACAAGCAAATTAATGTAGGAATACCACACATAGTTACTTTTTTGTGTGTAGTGAGAATACTTACAATTTACTCTTTCAGCAAATTTCAGATGTACAATATATCATTATTAATTGTAGTTATGTTGTACATAAGATTTCTGAAACTTATTTACCTTAAAACAGAAAGTTTATGCCCTTTAACCAGTATCTTCTCCCATCCTCCATCCCTCTGCCCCAGCCCCTGGTAGCCACCTTTCTGCTCTGTTTTTAGGAGTTCAATAGATTCTACATATAAATTAAATATGTATTTCTGTGTCTGACTTACTTCACTTCACAAAATGTCTTTGGGTTCATTTGTCACAAAAAGCTTTGAACAATAAATTTAGTTCTGTGCAAAACAAAGCATCCAAAATTGGAAGCATAAAATAAAATTATAAAAGTCCATCTTTTTCTAAATAAATATAAATGGGCTAGACTTCTGTATTAAAAGAGAGGTCATTATTGGATTAAAATTTAAAAACAAATCTAGTTACCATATTTCTGTGGTTCTGAGATCCCACCAATTCAAGACACATTGTCAATTTAATAAAACTGTTTAGAGAAAAAAGAAACATTCTAAGTGTACATACTGATTGTAAAATGAATCACACTTTCATAAACTACAAAATATGAAAAGGTACATCTTACAATCAAGGAATTACTGTGTATGCTCTTTATAAGAGTTGTGCATTTGAAGAAAACCAAAAGTAAAAGATAAAGCAATATGCAAAATATATCAGACAATTCGTAAAAAGAAAAAGGAAAAAAAACCAAAATGACAGTATTAATATAGACAGGGGCTGGGGATAGAACTAAGTGGTGGAACACCTGCCTGGCATATGATGAGTGGCCCTGGATTCAATTCCCAGCACCACAAGTAGAATTCCAGAAAAATAGGGCCTAGAAAATTATAAGGATGAAGATTAAATCCTTCAAAGCGCTCTCATTTTTTGAAGTTTGAAATGTATTGAATACCTTCTTTATTTTAGCTTCCAATAATTCTGTAGATGTTCCCATTTTTATTTTCCATTGGTAATTTTGATTGGCAGTTTGAGGGAAAAGGGGCTGGCAGAGAGGAATAGTTGTTTACCTCTTACGTCAGTACTTTCTTCAGAAATCCAAATCTCCTTGTTATGGTTTTGATCTGTGTTTCCTAAAAGGCTCACATGGTCAGAGGTGGGTCTTTGGAAGATGACTGGATCCTGGGGGCGCTAAACTCAGCAGTGGATTAACTCCACTGATGAGTTCATGGCCAACAGTACTGACACCGAAATCTCTCTGGTGTGAGGCATTGAAAGTGTAAATAAGGATCAAAAGGTACAATAGATAATGTGAAATAGGAAGAAAAGGGGCAAAGGGGAAGGGGGAAGGGGAAAGGAAAGAAGGGAATGTAATTAATATGAGAAAATGCAAAAATGGAAACAAGGTCTTTGTTAATAGGGAGGGATGGAGGGGTTGAAGGGAGGGCAGGGGAATGGGGGAGAAATAAGAACCAAGATGTATTCTGTAAAGTTACAAATTTCCAATGATGAATGTCATTATATTGTATGCCTAAAATGTACCAATAAAATTTAAAAAAATTTTTAATGTTCAGAATTATGAAAAAAAAGGAGGTGGTAACTGCTTGGAAGAGATGTATTGCTAGGGACGTGCCTTTGAAGTTAGGTCTCCTACCCTGCCTCCTTCTCTTTCTCCTTCCTGGCTGCCTTGGGATGAGCACCTTACCCTTCTACCATGCCATTCTTGCCTTGGATCCAACCAAACATGGAAGGAATCCTCTGGAACATGAACCCAAGTAAACCCTCCTTTAAGTTTGGTGTGTTGGGTATTTTATCCCATTGACAGGAAAGTAACTGACACACTCCTCTCTAACAGGAAAATTGATCTACAATAAAGCAATGTGGTACTTTAAAAGGAAAAGGTCCAATGAACAGTGTTATTTAAAAACTAATTTAATGGTGTTTTTGTTGATAGTAGAATTTTTTTTCTTTTTTAGATCTTCCTATCAAGCATAGAATTGATGTTGAAGATACAAAATGCAGCTCCACAGAGATTTTAACTATTCAAAGCTGGAGTGAATCAGAGGGCAGTGAACCAAGTAGAAATTTTGAATAAATCATTGAACTTATCAAAGATTACCTATATATTCACAGTCTATTATAAATCAGTTTTCATGTTTAAAATTTTATTATTATAATTCTAGTTATCATTTTTTTCTTTAATCTGCCTCTTTGTATTTGTTACTATTAGAATCCTATCTGCATCAAAAGTGAATAATATAGAGAGGTGATTGGAGAACAAGAATGGAGGAAATAGTATTAATGTAAAAGTAGAAATTTTAATAAAATATTATAGTTCAGTAAATAACATTTTATTAATAATACTGCTGATCTTTGTTACACTTTCTAAAAATTTAACTTTTTAATTCTCTAATGGAATCCTATCATTCTCTGCTGTCATTATATTATTATCTTACAAAATTTGAAACCTCAAAATCACCTTTTGTTTCACTATAGTGCCAAGTTGTGTTGCTTCTTAAGTATATTGATGATGCTGTTATTTAGTTACACCTATAATTGTATCTATTTGGAAGTTTGAATATTTAACAAATAGATTATTTAATAATCTATTTGGAAGTTTGAAAATGATAAAACTACACTGTTTAACAATAAATGAGATTTCACTTCTCAAGCCCAATCTATAAATTTATAGTTCATTGCTGGGCTATTAGAAATCAAGACTTATTAAGGTGAAAAATTATTCTTTATAATAATATTAGCTTCATATCACCAATATTTAGTATGGAGATAAAAACAGTACTGTCTCACAAGTACTGACAATATAAGGTGTCAGAATGAAAGCCATTATTACATGTGAAGTTCTCAATTTATCTTGAATAAGTAAAGTCAGTAAAGTTTATTCAGCAATTTTTTTTTTTTTGGTATGGGGGATCATCAATGTATTTTTTAAAATCACCACTATTGGGCCAGGGACTTAGCTCATTGGTGCTGCCGCCTGCCTTGCAAGCTCAAGGTCCCAAGTTCGATCCCCAGTACCCCTCCCCAAAATCATTGCGATTACCAGGCTCAGTGGTTCACACCTGTAATCCCAGCTAGTTGTGAGGCTGACACTGGAGAATCACAAATTTGAGATCAGCCTGGGAAATTTAGTAAGACCCTGTCTCAAAATAAAAAATGAAAAGGGCTAGGGATATAGCTCAATGATATAGTGCTTTCCTAGCATGTGTGAGGCCCTGGGTTTAATCCCCAGTACTGAGAAAAAAATCACCACTATTACAGTTGAGATACCATGTGATATACAAAGTCTGCCAAAAACTTGTATAAATATTTTATTACTAAATTTATTGTAACATCATGAGATTAATGCAAGTGACCTTGGGGTTCTACACTTACAAGAGATGCTCAAAGTGATGGCCATTAGCTTCCAGATATTTATTAATACAGCAAACTGCTGAAGCATTATACATTTGTTTGGTGGACTCCATATATGTAAATCCTTATATAGATGAAAATTTAGGTCTTGTTTTCTATCTCAAGTAATCCACGTTTCTTTTTATTGAAATATTTTGTTGTAAAAAATGATCAAACATAATAATTGCTTACAAAAACCTCTAAATTTTATTTTACTTATGTTAAGTAACTTTTAAATTTTCATATATATTCCAGGAGAGTCAGAAAGAGCACTAACTCATCTCCACCAAACAAGCCAACATTCCCCAGTAAATTCATTATGTCTAGAACTTCAGACATTTTCATTTTCTCCAGTCTCCTTGCATACAAGACTTCAGACAATTCCATTTTCTTCTCTTAGAAAAATGTAAGTAAAGATTATATCTAGAACTCAAGTTGCAATTCAGAACAAGCTATTCTTTTTTTTTTTTTTTTTTGGTTTTTTGAGACAGGGTCTCACTATGTAGTTCACACTGACCTGGAACTCACTGTGTAGCCCAGGCTGGTCTTGAACTCACAGTGATCCTACTGCCTCAGCCTCCCGAATGCTGGGATTACAGGCATGTACCACCACACCTGGCAGAACAAGCTATTCTTAATGCATATGTCCACATAAAGGCAATTTCCAGGATACTTATATGAAAAAAATGTAAGTGCTAATACAGTGTCTATTGTAAGTAACTGGAGGGAATATATGAATATATGTGTACGTATTTGGTTTTATAAATAGAGTATCTTTAGAAAGGAATGTGAAGAACAACACTGGTTGTGTCCAGAAGGTAACTAGGTAACCTGGCAATATGGGTAGGAAAGTTTTGCTAGTACAGTCTTTTATGAATTTAGAATTTTGAATATTAAAATATTACCATTAAAAATAAATAATTTGAAAACTGTAAGATCCTGACATTGAGTTGTTATGCTTAGGACATTGCCAGTGAACACTTGGCAGTGGCGAGGCCTCTATTGACACTCATTGCCATGGAAGACAGTTTATGGCTTATTAGTTTGCTGGGGCTGCCATAACAAGTACCACAGACTAAGTGGTAGAAACAACAGAAAGTTATTTCTTCAGTTTTGGAGGCCAGAAGTTCAGGAACAAAGTGCCCACAGGACCAGTTTCATTCTATGCTTCTCTCCTTAGCTTATAGATGGCCATCTTCTTCCTTGTGTTCATGGAGTCTTTGTTCTGTCTGTGCCCTAATTACTTCCTAAAAGAACATCAGTTACGTAGGGTTAGGGTGCACCCTAATGACCCCATTTAAAACTACCTCTTGATAAGCCCTTTCTCCAAATATAGTTACATTCTGAGGTACCTAGGAGTAGGACTTCAACGTACACAATTGGGGGGGGGGGGGTCTGCCAATAATAAGTGGTTTAAAGCTCTGAACTAGTGCCAGGCAATCTGTTTTTAATCACGTGCTAACTTTGTGAGCTAAATTGCTCTGTGCCTCAGCTTTTAAATCTGTGACACTGGGTAATAATTGTGCCTGCTTCACAGGGTTCTTATAGGTCTTCCAAAATATTTGTCATAGATCTGGACAGAAACAGCCAAGGATCACAGAATAACATGCACAGTGGGTGACCAGTACATTGGCCACCAACTTACTCCCTCTAGGAGTACCAAGAGTCATATCCCATCCCATTTCTAACAGAGACCATCCCCTAACCCTGTTCACCTTAGATATAATCTCAGTGCTGAGAAAACCAGACATGTTAAACCAAAGCTTACTCCATAAATCTGGTCATTACCCCGTTACTGTACGGAGTGAGCTGTAGCCCTAGAATTGATATTGCAGGATCATTGTATTCTAGTTTGAGCCAAAATTGCATAGCTTAATAGCTCAGCATATTTGACCTTTGACACAGTTGGAGATAGCTTTTGTTGCTATCTTATACCATGTGGCACACAGATAATATTTTCTAAGATAGATTAGTCTATTATCTTAGAACAAATTTACCCTGTGTCCTGCTTCTTTTGCCACTTACAACAATGGGAACGTAGCCATTACTACTTTCCCACTGTAATCTTGGAATTTAATGTGTTATAAAATAATACACTTTCAGGAAAGTCATAGGAAAATCTACAATTCCTTAATGAAATATTCTAGGACTGGAAATTATGGGAGCTGTATACTGGGTTTTGAATTTATTTATGATTGGCTCCTCTGTCAGAGAAGAATGCTCTTGGATTACTACAAAAAGCTGGAGTAAAGTCTCTAGAATTCATTAATGGTCTCCAGAAGGCATCAAACCAGAAAATGGAAGAGCCAGTGCTGAGGGCCCTAAGTATATCTTCACCTTCTCTTTAAGAATGATTTTGCATTGGGCCAGGGATTTAGCTCAGTAGCACCACACCTGCCTGGCAAGAGCTAGGTCCTGAGTTCAATCCCAGTAGCAAAAAAAAAAAAAAAAAAAAAAAAAA